CTCTGGAATGATTATGGAAATGACCTCCCTAGATTCGTGCTTGGGTTTTTACCCTCTTCTTTTGGAGATAAGGGTCTTCACCATGGAAAAACAAGAGAATGAGGTGGATCATGATGGGCTCCCTATGTGAAGCGTCAAGGGGACTCCAAAAGGGGCTCCCAGATCTGCATATGGGCGCCTAGATGGGGAACAGAAAGGTTTGGAGCTCCTTGAGATTCTTCGAGCTATACTCCTCCTTTCGGTGAGCATGAGTTGCAGGATCTGTTGGTTTTGGGCCACCAGCTGCTGTATGGTCTCCAACATTTGCTGAGGATTTGAAATTGGAGCATTTGAGCACGGGGTTGGTAGATGGAGGAGCAACCTCCTCCTCTCGTGGAGGGTGTTGTGCTCCTCTAAGTTGTGCTCCTCCTTGTCTGATGAGCATGAGTTATGAGATTGCTGGTTCTGGGCTACCAGCTATTGCATGGTCTCCAACATTTGTTGTGAATTTAGAACTGGAGCATTTGGGACAGGATTGGGCAGGTGGAGGAGCAACCTCCTTCTCTCGTGGTATATTATCCTTAGGTTGATTTATGGATCTGATGGTGATCGCCATAAATTCAACAAAAAAGAATTTTTAGAAGTGAGAATATTTTGGCGTTCTCACAGACGACGTCAAACTGATGATGCACAAAATGGCTTTGCACACCACCTATCAACGTGACCTACGTCTACTTTGAATGGCCTTGGTCGCTTGGTACTTTATTAGCTCATAGGTGCAGGGTTGAGCAGAGAGTACAAGCTTAGAGAGAGAGGATAGAGTGGTGCTCAACAGAGTGACATCTGCCCCCCAAGTATTGGTGGGACTTACAATTTATAGTCGCGTCCTCCTAACAGATTTGAGCAAGATATTAGTAAGTAATTGACTAGTTTGTTGGGTCTGGCGAGTTCTTCTCAACATGCGAGGCGTTAGAGCTTACGTGCTCTCCATGAGATTCAGTCAAAGGATGAGGTGGGGTGTTTGACCATCTCCAAGACGGCAAGGATATGACTTTGGATGACTTTGCTTGTCCCCTTCTGATGTAGCTCGTTGACCTTGATGAGCTTGTCTGGGTGCAGACTCTTTTGAACTTGACTAATTGGACCTCTTGGAGTTGAGCCCTTAGGCTTATAACATGAGTTGGCCCCTTAAACTTGACTCATCAATACTTACTCTGGATCATGGTACCTAGAAGTGCCAGCAACTACTGTGGACACGAGTACCACCTTCAATCGGAAAAGCTCTAGATAGCCCAAAGTCAGCTAATTTGGCTTGGAGCTTTTCATTTAGTAAGATATTGGTGGACTTCACATCTCTGTGGATTATTGGAGGCTTACACCGTGGTGTTGATACTCCAATCCTGCAATTCAACTCTAGCATTAGTAGTTTCATCTATATCTACTAGGAGCGTGAGAAGTGAGATGACTGTAGATGGAATTCAGCTACTTAAAACTGACCTTGTGCAGTGTTGATTGCTATTCGAAGTCTGTCTTCCCAATTCAAACCATATGAATTCTATCTGCACGGTAAAATAACAATTCAAATTGTATGTTTGTTGGTCGGAAAGGAACCTTAATCAAGTGATTACCCACTGAAATTTTTCAATGGAACTTAAATTAGGAGGTAATATGTGAATAATGCCCATACTGAAACTTTTCAAGTACGTGAGATATGCTTCTCCAAGTTCCCATTAGCCATGTACTCATAGACAATCCCCATGTTGGTTCCCTCGTTGCAATACCCAACAAGCAATGTCAAGCATTTGTGATGAATGTCATAAGAAGGTTGGCCTGTTATTTTAATCCACAACTCAGTTAGGCATTTCATCGAACACTTACATTACAAGTTTTTTACGCTTCAGAAAACTTCTGTAACCTACCTCAGCCTGAAATTCCTTGTACCCTTGAGTTGATGATGGAGAGAGCATCTTCACAACGACTTGTGTATCACCTACATATCCATGGTATACTGTGCCAAATCCTCCTTTCCAATGGCTCTCTCGAATTTTGTTCTTTGTATATTCCCTTGCCGGAGTTTTCAGATATTTCGTTGACCTCTGGTTACTTCTGTAAAATTTTTACGGTAAAAATTAGGGTTTTTTCTATGGTTTTAAGAAAACTCTGTTTATTGGCATCAATGTCTTATTTCGTTTATGAAATCACTCAATATGGGAGTGATTGGGAGTGTTTTTCAAGATGTGTTACACCGTAGAGAAATTTAAGGTCGGTGATATCGATAACGCCACGAAGGGAGGCGTCGAAAAGCGACACTGCCACAATCTCCAGAAATTTGGGGAAGGGGAAAGCGGTGGTGTTTGTTGATGGTCCGCCGGTGGGTTTGTTGAATGAGAGTGCTGCGAAGGTAGTTTGGAGGAGAACTTGGAGATGGTTTAGAGATGCAGGATTGTTGGATGGAAATGAGGAACCAGCAAGCATTAATGGAGAAGGTTTCCAAAGCTCGAAAGAGAGGTTAGAGGAAAATTTTGGGTTATATTTCATTCCCTCTAGAATTTTGTAACTCATTATGAAATCTCAGATCCATCCCTACATGAATCCATCCTTACAACTCTTGTTTCACATAATAAAGTAGAGATGTGGCATATAATCTAATCATAACTTGCTTATTGTTTGATTTCATTCGTCTATGTGAGAAGAAGTGCATGAGGGAATGCTGCTTGCTTTAGTATTGTTTTTCCCCATTGCACCAATTGCATATTGTCTTATAGCATCTTAACTGGTTCAAGTTCACATAGTCCGCAAAATATTTGATTAATAATGAAATATTGCAGGTTGGCCGAGTATCAAGAAGCAAATCCTGGTGTTTATATAATTGGTACATTTCCATTATTTTTTGCCGTCAAGTTTGGAGATTGGGGCCATGATATATGCTTGCTTCTTGCGACATTATACTTCACATAGATGAATGTAATCTTGACTTAACTGAAACAAAAAAAGCACAAATAAATATTTAATTTGCAAGTTTATTGAAAAAGAGTGGATAATATGAACACTTATTTTTCCATCTCTCTTCCTCATTCTTGTATTTCTTCGTCACTCTTTTTATCTTGATGTTTGTAATGAGGTGTCGTCATGTGTATTGAGTATTATTCATCTCTGTTAGTGTGAGGTTTCCAGCAAGAAACTGCAAATAGAGCTCTTGTTCTCCACTATTGTTCATACTTTTATATTTATAGCCTTGCTCAATGCCTCACGGTCTAGGCTATTGATGATGATATAATTTAGGCAATTGCTCAAATATATGTTTTATGTTTTGTTTATTTCGATATGTCAACGTTAAAATGGAGAATACAAAGTGGTGTTTTTTTTTTTTTTATGATTGATATTTTCTAATTTTAGCTAAGTAAACCCAGAAATTTATTCTCTAACCCCGCCAATGAACACTATTAAAAATTAATTTCTTTTAAGATTCCACTTATAACAAATCAACAAAAAAAAAAAAAAGCTTACATGAACGTTAAATGTTATCTAAGTTTTAATGAAAAAATTAATGTCCTAAAAATTAGCATACAAGTGGACAATAGAACCTAATTTTATATGTGGTTTCATGTCCATGTGCTTCTTGTGATTTTGATATAAAGTCGCGTGGCCAATTTATTCCATTTCGTTGTGGGAAAAAGGAAATGTGGCTACTTACATATAATTACTATTTCAAGATCTTTTGCAAAAAATAAATCACCAAGTGCAGTTATGTTTCTTGATGTTCCTCCAATTATGCTGAGAGATACAGGAGGAGAGGACATAAGGATGAAATTGAGAATTATGTGTTTGAGTCAACTTGAAACATTATTTTCTTTAGTATTTTTTTGGGGTTTAGTGGTTTTTCACTAATTATTTATCAATGTTTACCAAACAAATGAATTTATAGAATTGCAGTTGATGATTTTAATATATATAATTTTTTACTCTTCTCGTTCTTAAATATCTGTCGTTTAAGATTTTTACAAAGGAATTAAGGAAGTTATTAAATAGCTCTAATCCCTATGCAAAAACCTTAAATGACAGATATTTAGGAACGGAGGGAGTACTTATAAACTTTAGGGGATCTAAATATAATTTATTAACTGATATATTTCTAACAAGGTCTAAGTGTTACACACGTATAAATTTTAGGGAGTCTATGTGTAATATTTTAAATGTCAGGGGGTCTAAGTGATTAAATGACAAACCTCAAGAAATCTAGGTGTAATTCTCTCAATATTTTAAGAAAATAAGGATAAAATGGAAAGTTAGCTATAAATCACAATTTTCTTATATTTTTACAAGAAAAAAAAGTTAGTTATTTGTGAGAAAATTCAAATATGAAAGAAAATCATTTTTTCTATCATTTTCTTTTTCATGCTTACCAAACACATTAAAATTTTAAAAAATTTCTTTCTTGCCATTTCTACCATTCTCCCGCTAAACAAACGACCTCTAAGAAAAAAAAAGTTGGTTATCTATAAGAAAATTAAAGAAAATTATTTTTTTTTTATTATTTTCCTTTTCATTCTAACCAAACTTATGAAAATTTAAAAAAAAATTCTTTTATTGAATTTTTTATTATTCTCCCGCTAAATAGACGGACCCGGGAAAAACTCTCCTGTTGATTCTGGTCAACTCCACTAATACAAATATTTTTAGCAGTAACCACCCTTGATTCCATTGAATTGTTTAGCTCCTTGGTACCCAATTTGCACCGTAAATTGTGCATTTGCTGCGAAAATTAGACAATTAGTGGGCTTGAAATTCTTAACCTAATTCTCTCTCTGTTCATAAATATTTATCGTTTTATACAATTTTTTTTGTTCTATAATATCTGTCGTTTAATGAAATCAAAATATAATTAATATTTTTTCTTCCAAATTTATCCATAATTTTTCAATGCATTAGATTTGATGGAGGCTAAGTGTCTTTCATATTCATTTCCTTCCGAATACGTATTGAATAAGAGTATTTTAGTCTTATATAATTATTTTTTACTCATATTAGAACTATTTAATAGTTTCTTTAATCCCTGTGTAAACCTTAAATGACAGATATTTAAGAACGGAAGAAATACATAGATCAACTAAAGCATGTCAAACCAGTTTGTTCTCCCCCAAGTAAATGTTCAACATATATATATATATATATATATATATATATATATATATATATAGAGAGAGAGAGAGAGAGAGAGAGAGAGAGAGAGAGAGTTTAGTGGCCTCTCATGTTATTGAGAACACACCTAATCATTGTGATAAAAGTATCATTGTGCATCTTGAGGAGCTTAATTCAAATAGGTGGACTAAATCATTATAGGGAATTTTAGTGGTCTTTAAATAGTGTTCCAGTGCATCATCATGACAGCTAAATAATGTACTTGTGCTGAACATTGAATATAAAAATGAGGTGAAGACTACGGCTGAAAAGCTTTTCTAACATTAAAGAACTACTTATTGCCTATGGTTGAATGTACACAGTAATAAAAAAATTGTCTATAATATATGAGTATTCATATTCAAATTTAAATCACAAACATAAATGAGAGATAAAAAAATTTAAGTATCGATTATAGTGAGAGTAAGAGGTGGTGGACGACAGTGGTTATGGTAAGAGATAGTGATAGTTGTAGTAGGTGACAATGAATGTAGTGGTAGTAGTAACCGTGAGTGACAATAGTGATGGTAGTAGTGTCAGTCATGGGTGACGGTGGTGGTAATGGTGGGTGTGAGTGTGGGTGATGGTGGTGGTGGGCGACGATGGATGTTTTTGGGTGACAGTATAATGGGTGGTAACGAATGACGGTAGTGGTATGTGTGGTGGGGGTGGATGACAGTAGGTGGCAAAAGTGGTGGGCTGTGAATGATGGCGGTGATGGTAGGTGTGGTGGGGATAGGTGATAGTGGTTGTTGACGACGTGTAGTGATGGGCAACAATATGGTGGTGGTGGGTGGCGACGATTGTCGTGAGATAATGGTGGTAGTAATAATAAATATAAGAATGAGATGATGATGATGGTGGGCGGTGGCGGTGATTGGAGATGGGGGCAGTAGTGAGGCGATGGTGGTGGGGGTGAGACTATTCCAAACACTATTTTTTTTTGTTTAAAGTAGTTATAAGAAGTTTTAAGTCATTGAATCACTTTTTAAAAGTTACATCAAATACCTCCGTAGGATCCTATTTTTTCTATTAAATTTGGGGTGTTAATATTAACCGTTAGATTAATTTTAAAATAAAATTTAAAGAGATCTTAACCGCGAAAAATAAAAATTATTTTATTTATCTTTTGAAATTTAAATTGTATTGTACTTTATTATATATATGTTTATTTTTGAAAAGTTCTTTTTTGGTGATTATTTGTAACGGTTTGTATTGGGTGTGGGCATACTTTATTTTCTATTAAACAATCATCTACTCAAAAAATTTAAATTGTTTGAAAGAAAATAACTTAAGTAATTATACTTCAACACACTCCATCACATGAAAACTAGATTTTGGGTTTAACACGTAGAAATTTTTTTTAATAATTAAGGTAATGGCAGAATTCGATTATTTGATCTTCTGTTCTGATATCATATTAAACAATCATCTATGCCAAAAATTGGATAACGCATGTTATTACTATTTTCCTTCCCAAAAAAGTTAGAGATTAAGGTTTGGATTGGGTTACATAGGGGTATGATGGTAAAATTTTAATTAAAAAGCTTTAAACTCGTGGAGCCCACAAAATTTGAAACAGTGCCGCCCAATCTTTGAGCCACTTGGGCCATTGCCTAAGGCCCCAATTTGAAAGAAAAATTTGAGACCCCAACATAAAATAAATAATAATATATAATTAAAACTTTAGAATATAATTTAAATACTCAATAAATTTTAATTATTGAATTAATAATGAGTGCTAAATTTTAAAAAAAATCACTATTTATCTATTGTGTTTGGTCCTGAAATTAAGTGCTACTAGCATTATTATAAAATTTTTAGAGCCTTTTTTCAAAAAAATTTAAGCCCCTAAAGTTCAACTTATTTTTTTTATCTCACCCAATATTTATAATATATGTATTATAAATTTTGCAGTCTTACTATTAAAATCAATTATATATCATATAATAGGTACGAAATATAATTTTACATTTGTATAATTTAAATTTAAGGTTATTTTTTAATAACTTTGTTTAAAATAAACAAGATGACTATAAAGTAGAGTTAGTAGATGAATGCACTAGATATCTCAAATTAATTAACCATCGTGGTCTTACTAAATATTTTTATTTAAAAAAGCTTTTTTCTCTATGATATCTAACAATATCTTATTTATTTTAGGAATGCTCAATTTTTATAAATTCCTACTTTTATATACATTTAGAAAAAAAATTATTTTACTAGTCAACCTATTTTTCAAGTATGTATCATTGTATTTGATTTCCGTATTTAGTAAAAATTTGATTTTATTAGTCAACCTATTTAATACAATTTTTATTTATAAAATTTGAATTAGTATGTTATATCTTAAAAGACAAAACAAATAATTTGTAAATAAACATATTTTAATAAGTATTTAATATTACTATTATTATTGAATAAATATTTATAGGGTCTCGTATAATATTTTTCCCTAAGACTCCAAATTAGGTTGAGTCGCCCCTGATTTGAAATAGATTTGCTAAACATAGAATTTGATAGGAATAGATCTATTTTCTTACGAGTCCAACCCTATAAATTGTGAAAAAAAAATTAAGGAGGAGACTTATTTCTATTTTAGAGAGAGAAACTCTCACTTCTCTCTAACTACTGATCAATCCCAACGACAAATTCTACCAAAACTTCCAGATAGCATCAAGAATTTTGCATCACTTTTCAAGAATGCATTGAATCTTTCTGACATGATTCCTGATGTTGTAAATGCATTGGATTTTTTGATAATCTGAAAGATGAGGGAA